TGCTTTCCGACGTACTGTAATGTCAACACTTCTCAAGTCTTTGGACAATATAAGATGGCAACCCCAGCCATTGTTGTGCCCTTAATTCTGTGCTATCAATTTGCTGGCAGTGGGTTGAGCTGTCAGATCAGAAGAAGCTTCATTGGAATAAAGGTGGGCAGATGTGTGATAATGAGACAGAAGCATACAGATGCTAATATTCCTGTTCAGCAGAGCAGGCCTGTCTTCGTTAGGCCAAGCCAGCTGTAGACTGTCAGACACAGGGAGGCTGACTCCTCCTGATTCCCATTTAAGATCAGCCTCATTCGCTGTCTGTCAGTGAACTTTTCCCTCGCAGGGGCTCAGACCCCTGGGTGATCAGCCGCTCGCCGACATAACGAAATGTCAGAAGAAGTTTAAGTTGTGTGAGGGTCTGTGATGCTTTCAGAGCGCCGACTGATGCTCCCATCCCTCCTAGGTGTCTTGTTAATGATCCACCTGGAAGGCTCCAGGGTATTTGCCTGTATTTTGTTTTCTTATTAAAATGCAGCATAAGCCTTTGTCAACATCTATGTCAGCAACTGTAAAGACTAAGCATTGTTATCAGGAGCATAATTAGATTTTCTATCCCATGGAACTGCCACCTGCGCTGACCAGACAGTGAGTTTTGTTGTTTTTTTTGGGACCGAATTATTTTATTTTCCTTCCCGTCACCAAAACGCGTTTCCGTTCTCCAAGCCGAAGCTTTTCCCGCCTGTGTGGGAGTTGGCTGTTCTAACAGGGGTGGCTAGAATCCATCTGAATATCCCGGTACCGTCGTTCCGGGGAGAGGAGAGTGGGGAGAGAAATCGAAGGGGAAAAAAAAGCAGGAGGTGTGAAAACAAAAGAGGGGAAGCGAGCGGCATATTTAAATGAAAGATGACAGAGGTGTGACCCATTTTACATTCTGTCCTGACACTGTGTGGCGTAAGTCAGGGCCCCAGTCAGTCAGAGCCCTGGACCGCTACTCAATTTGTTATGTCAGTCTGACGTTTCGGCGACTCTTTAATGAAGACCTGACATGACAGCATCTGACCCGACTGTTTGGATATTAATATCTGACACGTATAATCTTCAGTAGCTCACAGGCTGCAGAAGGCCGGGATTGTGCTCTTTTGTACAGGTCACATCCTGGTTTAAAAAATGCACACTGCTATAAAAGTGTGATCTGTGTAGAGACCCAGCACTGTCTGAACATCTTAACTTTAAGATCTTAAACAAAAATGACCTTTCGATGATTATATCAGCGTGCCAGTAAATTCTGACAGCTGGAAAGGACATTTTGCCACAATAAGATAATGATCCTTGTTGCTTTGTGTGCTGTGTTATTAAAACACGTCTTTTTCCTAAAAATAACACCGCGTGTTGTGTGAATGACACAGGATGTGACTTGTGTGTAAACACAGCAATTAAGAAGCAGTTTGAAAAGGGGGTGAAAACAGATCATTTCCAAACACCACTTTCCCTCTTCCTTTTTTTCTCGTTCTTTATTTCTCTCCGAGACAATTATTTGTAGAATCTGTAATTGGCTGCGCTCATAACCGCTGAAATTTTACTATGCAAGGACATCTTAATGCACCCCACATGTCTGAACTGTCAGAACCTTCCCACAGAAACTCTCTGACATAAACTGCAACAGAAAAAGTTGCACAATTACTGGCGTATCTTTAGAAAGCGTGCGCGCGTTACACAAATGTCTCTGAATGACAAGGAGAGCTGAACCACGCAGAATTCTTCCTTAGAGTGGCATTAACTATTTCTACAGAAGATAATTACTATCAATTAGCTGAACTTAAAAAATTAAAGCCTGACAGTACAAGAATGAGGCCACACAGGTAGCCAAGCAGCCGGCATGACAGGAAGGTTACATCCTTGCAGCCTGATGTGGTTAGATCTCAGAACTTCAGCAGGGCTGGCCCTGGTCACTACTGGGATGGTGGTGTTGGTGGACCAGTAGGCTGCGCTGTTTCCTCTGAGCAATAATTTCCAAACACATATCCTGTGCCAGACAATGCCACAGAGAAACGGTAGTGTAGAAGGTGTCAACATTCAGCAGAGATGTTAAGTTAAGTGACTGGGTGATTAAAGATCCCATGGCACTACTCGTAAGACTGGAGCTGCTGTGTGCCACGCAGGTGGGGGCTGCGCCTACGCTTCTCTGATAAATCTCAGTGTGAGATGCCAACACTGGACACTGACCAGTGCTCTGGATCTGCAGTTCCACCCGGGCTCAGATCACTGCGAGGCGATCCAGCACTATCACACTGCCCTGTGGGTGGTCAAAACAGGGAGAGGGTGCAGTTTGTCCAGAGGTGAAGGAATCATTTCACTGCATCCCTCACCTAATGCAGAATACGTACTAAATAATACAAGAATGCATCAATCATATTAATGATGTCTTTACAGCTAATAACCCCCCAAAATAAGTGTTTTTGTATGCTTTCTGCGTTCATTAAAAAGGAAGCTGCTTAGAAGTTTTGCCTGGGAAAGAAAAACTGCCAGACTTTTCCCTCTATTGCTATCAGTTTTTTTCACCTGTTGTCTCTAGCTCTTGCCTGATCTCAGACAGATGCTAAGTAGGACTCACTAGAGCCTGCCTGCCTCCCTGGAGATATGTGTAATGTGTGTGTCACCTCTTGGCCACTTAGTAAACAATAAACAATGAAGAAAGACTGCAGCAGGCATGGCTCATTGGTTAGGTCTGAGGTGGCAGTCTGGGGCTCATCTGAAATAGCCTCTATTTGCTCCGCACCCAGTACTCAGCTACCGGTGCGTTTGTCACATCAGTCGCTCATCTTGTTGTTTTCTGATGAAATTCATTTTTGATCATGTGCTTTGAGTTGTTATTAGTTTCCGAAATGAAATATGCAGATAGCTGCGAAATAATTAGCATTGCTGAACAGTTTTACAATTAACAGCTTTTTAATTGTTGCATACCCTGTCTCAAATTAGCTCGCGAAATATCTGTTATAGAGCAAAGTTTAATTACAGCAAGCAAGTCAAATATTTGCATATTTAAAATTACCATTTTAAATTACTCCTGCTGATATTTCTTTCTTCCCATTCGTAGCATTTTTTCAGCCTTAAATGCAGCCCAGCGTCCCACGATTGTGAGACACTGAAGGCTTGCGTATGGCCCTAGACCTGAAGAGGGAAAAATTGTCTTTCTCTCCCTTGATTGGGATCTGTGCATGGAAATGATCTGTGAAAAAAACACCTGAGTCCTACATAACGTTGTTCTTGCATGGGGATGAATAAATAATATTAACATTTTGAAAAAGAAATACATCTTATAAGCCTGCAGTATGTGGGTGCTTGCAAATAATGCCATAGGAAGCTTCAGCTCTCAACAAAAAAAAATGAAATGAAATCTGTTTTATGGGCAAAAGAATGGGCAAGGAGGTTGACTTTGCCCTCCTAGTGGTGTCTTGAATATCAAGCTCCCCTCACTGCTCAGGTTAAGAATGCTTGAATAAAACATGTCATGTGCAGTGTAAGTGATCACAGAACAAAGGCACTGTGTACACTTCGAAAGAGAGACCCGCTAAAAGAAATACAGTAGTCAAACCATGGCTTAAATTAACCTTTTTTTTTTTACAAGAGAAAGGAATCTCAGCTTGTAAGGAATAAAAATGAAAAGGTTTAAGTGGAAGCTGTTTGGCACAGGCATATACCCAGCATCCCAAATCTTTTTTTTCCTCCTCCTTGCTTTCCTTGCAGGACTTAGTGTACTTTTTGTGTCCCAGTAGGTATAAAGTCTATCAGAATGCATTTGTTTCAGGGCCTTTTATTCATTTTCAAAGGGTTAAACAGCCTATTTACTGGGCTGTCAACATTCCCTAGACCAGCTTGTGAAAAAGTCTGGTCTAGTTTTGTTCAGGATCGACACTTGTCTCCTTGGCCTGTTGTTGTTCACGTCGTGTAATATCCATGACAATCGTGTTGGGCTTTTCAGGGGGCTCTGTAGTGCTAAATCTGAGAGGCCATTTTCAGCCCGTAAAGAGCTTTATTTATGTGGATTTGAAAGAGTCATGTGAAGGGCCCTCAACTCGAAATCCTCTTCAGTAGGTCATCCGAGTTTCAAAAGGCTTTAAATGCAGAGGCAGTGATCAGTACTTCCATCACGTTCTAATAGACTGACATGAACGTTTGTGCCTGAAAAGAAACAGCCTGAGAGAGAGCAAGAAAGGGAAGGAGAGAGAGAGAGAGAAAGAGAGAGTGCGAGCGGAAAAAAAAAGTGAGAGGGAGAAGGGATAAAAAAAAAGAATAAAAGAATGGATGAAAAAAAAAGTGACGCAGATTTGCCCTAAATTGGAGTGACGTGCAAGGCAGTGAGAGCACTTGACTGGCAAGCTAACCTCTCCCGCCCTCCCTCTTGCAACCAGCATCACAAAGAGAGAGTCGTGGGAAGCTGGTACAGAGCGCAGCGTATCCATTTTCATGGGCCATATGGAAATTTTGTTTTGTGTACAGAGAAAGTGTCTGATAACAGTGACCTTAACTGCCATATGTGTTTGCTGAATGGTAAACAGTGCAAAGCCAGCCGGCTCCCTGACCCCCAGCATATGGGCATCTATTCTGTAGGAGGGCTTTCACAAACACAGCCCCTGTCCCTGCCATCTTGCTGGTCTCGCCCAGGGGATTTCGTTAGATTTGTTAATGAATTGCTCTATTGACTCATATCTTAGCTTGCTTCATTAGAGTAGATGAACACTTCTTTTTTTTCAGTTCTTGCAGGGGACCAGAATTATCTTTTGTGAGGAGGTGTTAAATCTTCAGGCTTGTCATCTGTTTTTTCCTCCTTTCTTCCTTTATTGCTAATTCATATTGTCACACTTTAAGAAGACTCTTGACTGCTCAGTGAAGCTGCAGAATTAAGCCTCAACACGTCTCCCCCCCCTCCCCTCCCTTGCCTTACCACCCTTTCTCTTCCCTCAGCAAGCCTCTCTAAATCAATGCCTTTTTCTTCTCGTTATGAGCAGGACAGTTTTTCGGGACCCTACCTGCTTTACAAATAGGCGAGCGCTGCGTCGCCCTGGTGTCAGTGTGCTACAGTGAGGCTCCATGGCACCACCTGTCACGAGACGCTTTGAAAAAGCTGCTACAACACACCAGACCAGCCTTCTGCCACTCACTCATCCCACACGCCTTCACACTCCTCCCCGCTGTCCCGTGCGCGGACACGGCCAGGCCGCTAGAGCAACACCGCGAACTCTCACACCACCGCCGATAGCACGAGGGAGACAGCGCCACTGCCCTAGCTGAACAGTGAGTAGGACTTTTAAAGAAATTGAAAGAAAGCCTTCATGGAAATTCATCTTTTCCCTTTATATGCTTCTACAGAGCGGATGTTTGCTAAATATACTTAAGCGCAAGTGCTGTATGCTGTCTGGAACAACTACAGGCATTCCCTTGCATTATGGGAAGGCCTCTGCACAATACAGAAGGGGTTCAGGGCTGTGCATACTTCTGACACTAGAGCCATTCGTGTGTAATGTGCAGGAATGGTCAATATGGACCAGTTACATCCAGATCAAGCAATAAAGATTAAAGAGGAGGAGAGTACCCATATCTAGTCCTGCCAAACCCTGGATGCCACCTCTAGGCATGGCCAGTTTAAAGACACCTTCTTATCTGCACTCTTTGTTAACAGATGAGGAAATGCTGAACTTCACTCGGACAGCAGGCTTGAAGTATATATATATAACGTTTTTCAATTAGGACAACCATCATATCTCATAATGACATTATTTGTCCATTTTGTCTGCAGTATTATCTTCTTTTTTTGCTGTGCAATACACATATAAAATGCAGAATATTATATTCTATTTCATGAAACATAGGTACTGTATTTATTTGAGAACCTGAAGTCTGTGTAGCTTGTTACATAGATAGCTTGCACACATGTTACCAACAATCTTGTAGTTTGAAAGCACACTGAAGGGCCTTATCCATAAGCAACATTTGACCCAGCATGAAATCTCATAGCTGCTCCCCAGACCCTGTGTATGCTTACAGTCCTTTTCTGTAACTATATATAGTCAGGCTCTCAGATTTAATCCCAGACTGGCAGAGTTGGAATTTTTGAATATCTAAGACTCAAGATTCAGGAGAAACAAAGATGAAAAAATGAATGCTTTTGCTTTTACATGAGACAGCCAATCTGCAGATACTTGACTGAGCCGTAGTCAGTAGGCTTTGATGCGGATGGTTTCCTGTTCGGCTCGGAAGAGTGGCTGAGTGCCGGAGAGCTGTGAAAGGCCGGCCGCGCAGTAGGGTTGCAGGGCTGGGCCATTGTGTGAGAGGAGGATGTGTTGCAGATTCCCTGGGGGCTCCTGGCTTGTACTCGGTGTAAATGACGCAAATGACATTTTGAAACTCCAAATATCTGGGTGGGTTCCCCCTCCCTGGGGGGAGCAGTCCAGTCCCAACAGCAACATAAATAAAAGGGGAGATCCAGTCCCCAAACTGAAAAGACAGTTGCAATAAAATAGGTGGAAGCTGTTGGGTGTTCTCGCTCAAAATGGGATTTCACTTCTTGTCTTATTGTTACAGAATTTTCCCCTCTCTCTCTCTTGTTTTTTTTTTTAAAGCTTCCATATTACTTTAATTTTTACACAACCATATGCGAGGGTTGTGACTTCTTAGTGACCTTGAGACTTAATTCTTTTGATTTGGTTTCACTGGGAGAGTGCCGTGACCTCTCAGTGTGCTACCTCTTTGGGTCAGATGCAGTCAAAGCCAGCATGGCCTGTGTTCCACTGCAAATCCTGACAAGCTGTAAATAACTCGGGCGCAGGGGCTGATTAAAGGGAGAGTTTGCCCAGTTACCATCAAGATGGAGCCCTTAAAAAAAAATCAAGGATTTAACAACCTGATGGGAAACCACAAAGATAACCATATTTGTTTTCCAAGTCCAAAACTTTTTATTTGCAATAATATGGGTCATAAAATTAACAATAAAAAACATTTTCAAGTTCACATTGCAAAGATTTGGTATTATCAGGCTCCACACTTAGTATCCAACCACTAATGATCTGAAGAAGGTCTGCGGACCATTAATCTGCTACTGCTCTCTTAGTAAAGAGCACTGTTTGTAGTGGGCCTCTGTGACTGACCTTCTGTACAGAGTTTGGGATACTTCACTGGTGCTTCAAAGCATCTTGCACTTGGGAGAGTTTCCAGTGGGTGTGATATCCACATTTACACATGCTAGTACTTGTCTAATATTACATGGAGATGGGGTGACCCTGCTTGGTTAATTTTCAGAAACACAGATTCACATTTAATCATTTTGTTTTATTATTTATCAAATCCCATGTGACTCGTGGCATTCTCCTTGGGCAGATAAAAAAAAAGCGGAACATCATCTGGTTACGATTTTTTATTTATTGCCTTTCCCCTTGAATATAAGTTTGGCAAAATCCTCAGTCGCTGACATCTCACATGAAGCGCTTGAAGGATCTGTTAAATCGAGATTATGGTAAAGAGATCTCATGTTTGGGGCTGGGAGGGTTTACTGCTTCACTGGGACATAAGAGCATTAGACAGGGAGACACCAGTGACTTACTGTAGGTATTGACGAGCAGCTGGATGATCTGAGAATGTCCATGAAGAGCTGCAATATGAAGTGCAGTATAACCCTGATAAAAACAAAATAACAAAACAAAATGCAGCAATCAACCTACAACAAGATAGACCCAGGACTTCAATTAACTGCTCTTTAGCCCTACGTATACGACAACATATTTCAATGCATAAGTTACACTTCAATACAAGTTTGGTAGTTTATTATTTATTCATGTATTGCTTTTCCTTTGAAATCAGTTTTGTTTGGAGAAATGCATTCACATAATTGATCAAGTTTGCTGTCACACTTGATGTTTAGAGCTGATTTCATGCCTTAGGAGGATGTTGAGGTTTTGTACACGGTCACACAGGTTGTGGATACAGTTTTGTAGGTGTGTTTCTGCAGGAGGAGGTCGTAAAAGGTGAACACTGAAATTGTAAGCAGCACAGCGGATTAACGGAAACTCGGGGACATGTGCAGAAAGGAAATATAACTTATCTTATAGGTAAAATGTAGTTGATCTGCTCAAGGAAGTTTAAAACTACTGTTTTGACGTAGTATTTAAATGTCAAAGACCTTACATGAGTGAATCATTAAAAAATGTATGTATCAGAGAAACTGTCCTGTAATCACTTTATTAAACAGTATAATCAGTGATGATCTTACCTTCCCATCAGCCAAGTTTTTTTTTAAGAAATCTTAATGAAAACTTGTTTTTCAGAATGTTTTAAATGAATTTTGGGCATACTTGCAGTTACCTTTGATTTATGTAGGGAGACATGAAACATTTTTTTTCTGTTTCCTTTAAACATTTATTAATATATTATATCCATTATTTATTTTGTAGAAATTAAAGTGTGGAGTACAAGTAAAACAATTACCATGGCAAACAGACAGCTGACAGCAGAGAAGTTTCACTTAAGACCCCTGTTTTCCATTAAAGGCACTGCTAGGAGAAGCAGTTGGCTTTTATTTCACATACTGCTGTGCTCTAGAGGAATCTTAATATTTCTCCAGTATGTCCAGCGGCGATACCTGCTGTGGGCTACGTTTGTCATTTGAAAGCAGTAACACGGATACACCTTTCAAAATCCTGTCATTTTAATTTGCCATTCCTTGGCTACCAAACAATTGCAGGATTTGGTAGCCGTTATTTCAAAGGAAAAAAAAGTAAGAGGGAAAAATATTTCAATATTAGCCATTTGATTTGATTAATAATAAATGTAGCCACACACCACCAATCATTTAGTCTGATTTTCTGTTTTGGCACAGCATTGCTTTGGGAATATCTGACTAAACAAAATATAAGTTTCATTTTCTTCTTTCTAGGATAAAATACCAAAATTCTATTGTTTTTGCCTTGGCCCACAATGAACTGTGCAACTTCCTAAGGTCTGTGAACTGGGTTTCCTCTACCAGAGGGTTTGTAGTTTCAGTCTGACAGTGTAGAAAGCAGAGGTACACATGGAAGGCTCTGTGTTTTCAGAGCTTGCTCTTGCAGCACACTTTACAATTTTTAAAAAGGTCACCAATCTTTTATGTGTTCACCTCTGCTTTTAACTTTTAATGACGAGGGGAAAGGTCAAAAGCTTCAAACCAAGAGAAAGTAGAGGGCTCATAAAAGTCAAACGAGATCAAGGTGGGTTGATGTGCAGAGGTGCACTGGAACCAACACTGCTGGGGAGATGATATAGCTGTAAATACGAACACCTCGACTGCAGGACAGTAGCAAAATAGGGGTGACATTCAGAGTGTTCATTAACTCACTCATTAGTCAAACAAATTAGTCCAATAGGTAGCATTTCTGAAGATGACAAACAGCAACAAGCAATCTAGCAAAACTCTGCCTGGGGACACCCTTCGGTGGTCCTTATAAAAGTATAATACAATAATAAATACGTTCTAGCAGACTTAACCACACAAAATAGAATTTATCTAGCATGTTTGTTAGTTATCTGCTGTGACTTTTTAAAGAAACAGTATTTAATTCTATAAACAGGAAGGTCTTCAATGAAAACAGATTTGTTTTAGTAGCCGATTGATTATTACTGTACTATGTGCCACGAGTAACTGCACAGTCCTGATTTGGATTGATGTGCCTAGTCAGTCAATATCAAAGACTAGAAAGCTTGTGCTTGTATCATATTTGCCTGTAAAATGAACCATGTTATAAAAAATAGAGATGGTTGCAGGTAATCCACACAATTTGAATGGAATCTCATGCTGAGTCTACCTATTTATTGTGAAATTTGTTAAATGAGATATGTGTTTGATTGAGTATATACAAGAAGACAGTATATGCATTGAGTATATGCAGGAAGACAGCCTTTCAAGGTACAGCAGAAGCCAAATTGCTTTTAAATTTCCTAAGTAGCAGATGCAATGTACTGTGAAATCGGCACAATTAAGAGAGCACAGGAACTCCAGATATGACAACAATGTAAACACTCGCTGAGTTATGTGAGGACCTTCCCCAGGCAGAGTCCAGAAACTCCAAGTGAAGTGGCTTTGAGAACCAGGAAGGGACTTCAAAAGATAAATGATGTAAGTGCAACAGTATCGCTGTAACTTTTTGGGCTGGTCTCGTCCTGACAGCTGTACAGGCCGGAGTAAATGCTTCTCGGCTGCCATGCCCAGACTCTGCCCCTGCTGTCAACAGGACTATCAGCTTTCATGCATCATCTATTATCTACTGAATCTGTCATTGCCGAGGAGAACTGTTTTTTCAGTTTAAAAACCAAGAAAAGAAGTAAAGATGGACAAACCTCAGCCTGCTCTTATCGTAATGTGGGCATTTTGTGAGTGAGTAAAGTGACTGGGAACCCCAGTGGCTCAGTGCAAATTGTGCTCCGAAGGGGAGAGGAGGGGATCTTTGTTTGTTTGGACAGATGCACAGAGCCGTCTCTGAACTTCTGTCAGTGATCAAAGGAACTGATGATGTAGAACAGATTCATGGGCTATGTCTTATCAGCCCTTAGTTTGCCCGTCATCCATCATGCGAACTCCAAGCTCTTCCCTGAGTGATGATGGCACCCTAAACATGTTAAATTAATCACTGCCGCTCTGCTCCGGCCAGGTGTCTTGCCTCCAGAAATCCTGGATATCTTATCCCAGGGAAAGAGAAAACACTGACATTCACAGCAGCACTAATACAACTTAATTTATAGCTTTGTTCTTTTAGATTGGAAGGAGGTTTTGAGGATCGGGACTGGAATCTGAAAAAGGTCTGAGTTTAAGGGGATTTTTTTTTATTCAAAAGGTTGTTTTGAACACGAATCGACACCACACACACACACACACAAAAATCACCTGGAGCTGTGTGTCAATATTGTGCTTTCCCTCTACCTGCCTGTGCCTGAATTTACTGGCATCCCCTGTTCCTGATCTAAAATATGAAACGAGTCATTGGCCAGAAAACATAAACCTCTTATTGTTCTTTGAACCTCTGCTGGTACATTTGGTAAATTGCTGCGTTTCACAGTCAATGACCCTCTGAGCAGGTGCTCCCTAGTGTCAGGGTTGAACTTCTTGAAGTGAAACTTAGTGGAAAATTTGGTACAAAAGTCACTTTTGTCCTTTTTGTTTTGGAAATAACACAGATACATGACACATAAATTTAATATGTAAAAAAAAACTTGTATTTGTGCTAATTTGTGTAACACTCCAATTTGAGTTGCAGCAAATATTCTTTTCTACAATATTGCACAATGAATTTTTGACCCTTTGTCCACAACTTTAAATAAAGTGTTTTTTCTGGCCACTTTTTCTTAAAAATAAATGTAAAAACATCTTTAATTGTACCAGACAGTTGAAAGATCAATTAGAACTGAACTAATTATATCAATTTAATTACCATACATTTTTTTGTATGACCTTTAAACAAAAGGAACATCTTCTTTAATAATCACTGATGATGCAGTTGATGTAACAGCATCCAGACACATGTATAAATAAAGATTGAAACACATGACCTTTTGCATGGAAATATTAATAGGTGATAAATGGGTTATCTGGGCCACATAAAATAATGCAATGAAGTTTCTTAGACTTCTAGCATTCCATATAGACCTCAGGCTCAATATTGGTTGTGTTTCATGTCTTTTAAAGAGGCATCCAGTGTTTTGGAAAAACAAATCCGACATGAATTAAGCATTGTTTTCCTTCTTATCTGTGATGAGATAAATCCAGATTTTCAACAACTAGTTGCCTTGGTGGTTAAGGCTAAGTTTGTATAAATAAATCTGTTTGTTAAATGTGCCCGTCTGATAGATTAAGATCTGTTTCCTGTGCCCCTTTGTAAAAGTCAGTGAGCGTCTTTTTTTATTCACAGAGGCAGAGGGGATATCACTCTGTCTGGCGTGACAGCCCTCCTTTAGCATATTCATGACAAATACAGACTCATTTCACAGGTGTATTAAAATATTACTCACCCCCTTTAGAGATGTCACCAATTCCAGCAGTGAATAGCCGTGCATGAAAATTGAGGGGAAAATATGTAGAAAAATAAGCACACATCAGAGGCAGGGTCAGGAACCTAATTTCACAGTGACATTGGGGTAATTTGGCTTTGAAAATGTTTGTCAATTCTCAATTCATTTGAAAAAGCATAGCACCAAAAAGGCTGCTGTCTGAATATGAGATAGCCAACCTGAATTTCAGTATTTATAGCACAGTTTGCAAATACATTACCCCTGTCACAATGAAATAAGTGACATACTTACATGCTGTGAGGAGTTGGTCCAAAGGTGTAAGCACCGGGGAGGGGAAGATAAGAGGAGAAGTAATTAGTACATTAATCTTTTTTATGATATCATTTTTCAGACATATATGATCGTAATGTAAATTAGAAATAAGGAGGGTTCATGGAAAATAGAATTAATTCTGAGCAGGTCAATCGCCCTACAATAACTGCATTACAAGCAAGGTGTAATTTATGGCAACATTTGTTCCTCTTTCTTTTTCCCCACTGTACCCAGCTGATTACACTACTCCTGCTCTCTTCTATCAGTTGAAAGTCAGCTTATGAGATAACATTCTGCGTTCTAATGAAATTCGCAGCGCAAAAAAAAAAAGAAGAAAAGACAACCTCCTTCAGCGAATCCAACAAGGGCTGCTACAGCTCTTAATGGCATTCTATGGATTATTGATTTTTGATTTAGTTTCTGCTCAGCAGAAGCCCATTTTAACAGCACCATTACCTCCATAACGATTAGAGACAAAAAGTTAATTATGTAATTATAAAGCCAATAACAGACTTGTCTGGTTTACTTTGCTTTAGTCAGTTTAAACATTATCTCTTGTGTGCACATCATAACAGGCGGAATGTGAGGAGAGAGATTAACGCCTTGAAAGCAGATGCGAAATTTAATTCTCCAGGCCATGGCTGTCTGGGAAACCATTAAGTAATCACAACATTCTCCCTCTATTAAATTCATGGCTGCCACTTTGCACACAAAAGGTGGAAAAAAAGGGTAGTGCGGAGCTTTCCATTTTTATTGACTGTAACACCAGTCTCGGCCTGAGGCACAGGAGAAGAACGCTGTTTAATAGGATGCCTCAATCTGTTTGGAAATGAAAAGTTTGAGTGGATGAAATAAAATAAAAAGAAAAAAATAAATATGTTGGCTGTGATAAAGCACGGAGGCAGTGTTCACCTTGAGAGAAAGAAAAAATGGTGGCAGGAAGATATCGTCAATACCTTTAAATTATTTTACCTCAACTAAAAATGACTCGCTTTCTCGCTGCGAGAGATAAGATGCTGTCTCTGTGCGTAAATTGGTCCTTGCGTAAATGAATTCAAATGGAAGAACTGAAGAGGGCTTAAGAGGATTGAAGTTCTGTAATTGGGACTAATTGGTCAGGATTGGGCAGGGGGTTGCTGTGGAAATTGGTGGAGTAAACACAGGTCTGAAGTTATATTTATTTATGGAATAGGCCTTAAGGGAGAGAGTTCAGAAGGGTAAATTGGTATTTTAAAAAATGTATAATAATTTTTGAGTTATTATACATTTAAAGAGAAGGGTTACATTTGATTAATTAGGTAGTTTCTTATTTCAATTAAGTGTATTAATATGAGATAGGAAGAAAACCATAGGCCTGGTAGCTTCTGGGATCTCTCTAAGTAAAAGCAGGCCCAGGCTGAGTACACATGTTGGAGGCATGCTTTTAGATTTTGAGTTATAGACAGGTATGTCATGTTTCTAAATCAACATGGTTTTAGAAAAGGAAGTCTTGCATAATCGCTAGTTAGAGCTGAGCAAGCAATATCAGGAATGTATGAACATACACAGAGCACGTGATGTAGTGTATTTAGATTTTCAGAACGCCTCTGATAAAGTTCCTCTAAAGAATTCTAAAATTCCTGGTGGTTGGCATTTAGGGCAATGTGTGTGCCTGGTTTGAGAACTGGTTAATAAATAGAAAACGGAGTGAAGATATGGGGGGAATACTCCATGTGGGGGATGTAGTCTGTGGAGTACCACAGGGATCTGTACTGGGGCCACTACTCTTCTTAATTTATATCAATGGACTAGTTCTGGTGTTGTAAACCCATCAAGTTTGCAGATGATACAGAAGAAGGAGGATTAGTAAACACTGCAATAAGCAACATGAAATTTAAAACAATTTAAATGAAATTCAACACTGCTTGAACATGCAGGCAGGCAGTAAAATCAGACACTATACATACAAAATGGAAACTGCTTTGCGAGAAGAAGCTACTTTAGAAAAACTTAGGATGTTTATGTTTACACATTTTTTAAATCTTCTAGATGATGTCGGGGAAGCAATAAAATGTGTTCATTTCATTTATTTTATTGCCAACAAAATGTTAAGATGTAGAGTAAAAAGTGTAGAATTTCAAGGGGATGTTTTGATGAAATTGTGTGATGCAATAATAAGGCTTAATTTAGAATACTGTTGAAATTTTTAATAACACAATGTACAATAATATAAATACAATTTTATATATATATAAATAGGAGGTATTGATGTTCCTGAAGTAGTCCGTAGAACCGCAGCCAGACACATTTCAGGGCTTAAGGGATTGTCCAACACTACAAGTGTTCAGTTCTTGGAAAAGAGAAGAATATGGAAGGGACATAAGTATTTATAAACACTGACAAGGTCAACCCAGTGGACTTCCTCTGAATCAACGATGATACATGGACCAGAGGACACAAAAGGAAACTACGTGAAAGTGCATTTAAAACCAAGAACAGGAGGCACTTCTTTACCCAAAGTGTTGGGAGTGTGGAGCAAGTTTACCAGCCAAGCTGCTGAGGCTGCTGCCCTGGCTTCCTTCAAGAAACAGCTAGATGAGATCCTTGGATCAATTAACTGCTACCAAAGAGGTTACATGGGCTTAACGGCCTCCTCTCATCTGTAGCTGTTCTTATAATGAATTATGGGTATGAAAATTCCTCTTGTCCAATCACAACACCACAGGAGGCAAACTATTTTATTTTATTTACGAGTTTTCATTCTGTCTTGCTGAGTATATAGAGCCGTAGTTTGCCCTTATCAACAGCATGACATAGCTAATCTATATATTTTTGAAGGAATCTCTGTCTAAGGTGGAGTAACGATGAGAGCTAGTTAATATTCACACCCATAACTAATTGCGACAGCATGCTCCTAACATACAACCTAACCTGGAAGTGTGGTCCTTCTGAAACAAGTGAACAAGAGAAACTTGTATTTGCTTTGTTTATGTGATGGTAAAATAAATGTCTTTCCTGCTGGCCTGGGCCCTTACTGCTGCAGTTAGATCTTCAGGTCCCCCATTTGAAGTAATATCACACAGAAAGCTATCAAGTTTAAAAGGCTTTTGAATGAACACGCTAATATGCAGAATAAGGAATAATTCATGTCCCTGTTCCACCTGTTGAAAGACAGTGCAGGAAAGCCTGGGCATGGTTGATAATGCTGCGGATATCAGTGTCCTGTTCCCTAGCTAGGTGCCCGAACTAGCAGAGAGAATCTCTGATCTCTGCGCTGCACCACGCTGAAACAGGAACTCCCGCCTGTCCTCTGGCCCAGGACAGAGCAGGCGCGTCTCCGTGCTGCTCCAGCGCATGCTTGTGCAGAAGTAGCGCAAGTGTCAGTGTAGCACAGCCCACGGGGAGCGGCTGCGAGACCCGTCCTCACTGACCGATCTGGCGTTGACGTCGGCGCCCGCTGCTGCCATCATCTCCACCATCTCCTTCCGGCCGAGCTTGGCTGCCCAGTGAAGCCCCGTCTAGGAAGCCAAGCAGAGACCGTCCATCAGATTGCTTTCTGGGGCCTGTCAATCACACGGCTGCCCCCCCGTGACTTCCTCCTTGGGGTCCTTTGCTGTACCTAGTGTTTCCTATGGCCGGCGACCCCACGCTGGCTGCAACTGAACAACTGTTATCAGACTCAAAAGCAAAAGGACTCCCAGCAGGCAGATAAGGGCAGCCTAAGCATTTGTGCATGGTAGAAATCAGCTGTGGAAACAGAAGAAATTCATTCACACCTCAAACTTCCCAGCAGTGCAAATGAAATCAGCAACTGCATGTTGCCTTTAGTGACGAAGGAACATGAGCTGTTTGTTCTCGGTATATCTCATTACCACATTTAACTGATTCGAACAGAATTACTCCAAAGGATTGTGATACACCTACCCGCTTTGCAAAATCATGCAGTTTTTAAGTAGAATTATTCACAAAATGTATCCAAGCACAACATAGGATTCCTCTGGTTTTGTAATGCAAGGGCAATTTATAGAACAATCTATACAGTGTTCTATATATTTATCTATAATCTAAATATTGCATATTAGTGTAAAGCAGCTATGAAAATCATATAATCAATATTATGCACAACCTCTTGTGTTTTCAATGCCTGATTTCATGCCAAACAAATTTCCACTGCTAACTTTTTTAAAGCTTGCATGCCATTAAGCTGTTCTGCTCGTTTTGATCCCCTTTTGTTAATTGCAGAATGTATGCCTTAGCTGCTTCAGCTCCTATGAGTGGGATGAGAGAGCTGCTCCAGCGGAGGTCTGAGAAACGTCTGGGGTGTGTTCCCCTGCCCCTCTGCTGCCGAGGCCTGGCACAGTGAAGGCAACCCCCCCCCAGGACGAAGCCTGTTGCTTCGGTCCTCTTCATCCAACGACAGACAGACACCAGAGGCCTCCAGTCCACTGCATGCAGCGGGTGAGGAGATGTTGCATTTCCAGCACACATAAAAATGAACGAATGGCAAGTCCCATATTTTTGGGATGGAGCAGTTTTTGTGTGCCTCTGACAGCTGGTGCATTCTAGATAACATTAGAATTTAAAAGAAAACAAAAGCAAAACACAACACAGTCTTTCTTTTTTTTCCTCTCTCCCAGTTTACACCAATGATGGAGAGTTCCTGTCAGGGAAATTCCCACCAGAGACAAGACAATATCGCATCTTAGCCTGAAAAAGAATTAGAGGTATGTGACTGCTGTTTTTTTAAGCCTTTCATTGTGCATCTGAAGCAGAATTAGCCGCACAGGTAATTCAAAGCCTGGGGAATAAAAAGAAAAAAAAAATGCATTGCAACATGCACTTACAACCAGCAAGGAGGAGAGAATAATTCAAATATATACTTCTGGTGCATGTATCCTGAAATCAGGATCAGCTGTTTTAATTGCCTTCTCATCACCGACGTCTAATATATTGTGCTTGTTGACACAAAATTAAGAAGATTAAAACAGAGCAGAAAAGTGTTGCTTGTTTGTCACAGAAGTAGGCAAAGTCTCCTGGCCTGCCATGCGGCACCCCTCATCCCTTCCCTTCAGCTCCCACTGACACCTGCTCTTAGTGCTCTCCGCCACAGAAATCGGCGCTGTGAACACAGTTTGACATTTCCTGACATTTCATGAACTAATTACACTACAAATAATTAAGCATGTTCACATCTGTAACAAACGAAGGCAAAATGGTTGTCAACGGTCGTGATTGATGACCTCCCTGAGACTTTATCTGATGAGCCCCCCACCCCCCCCAAACACACACACACACACTCCCCCCCCCCCATATCCAATACACACACAGGCTGGAACCTGGATGTTGGTGTTTTGTGGTAGCAATTCTGCCTTCAGTCCCCCTTTTCAAATGGATCAAACTGGAGAAGGGGCTTAAAGAAAAGGATGGGAAAATTAATGACTACAATAAAGTATTTGCATTTTTCTTACGTTGGAAAAAAAAAAAACCCACAAAGAACAAGGGACATGACAACCTCAATTATTTGGTGGTGTTAAGAGTGCAGAGACAGCTCCTGCTGGAGAGGGCCGGGGGGGGGTACCCATGGTGTCAAGTGGGCTAGAAAAATGGCAGGTGATGAGGACAACCCCTCTTTATTCCCAGTCTCGCGCGGAGCTCCGGGCCGTCACGAAAAAGACAAATTATCGCAAGATGAATTTCATGGAGGGGAAGAATTTGTCACCTTTTTAACATGCCCCTTAGAAACTTCAACACTGCCATTGTGGTGCACTTTAAAAAAAGAAAACTTCCATTGAGTCACACGGAGAAAGAAGGAGAGAGAATGAAACAAAAAAATATCTGGATGCATGTATCTCGCGCTCTCAGCCGCACTGCTTTAGAAAAACGATTTATTTGGGTCTATAAGGCAGTAGTAAACGTTGTGTGCTCACAGTCTGCTTAAATGAAACAAACTGTATGAAGTAATCAGAAACATCTCTGAAACACATTGCTATGGGTGTATATAGCAATGCTGAGAGAGGAGGACAGTTCACTAACAAGTTTTCTAAACCTGTACATGGATGGTTTATTACAAGGCACTTATATCTCTGAGGTAGGTTTCAATTGTTATCGTATCCCTCAGTAAGAATTTTTCTGCACGAGCCAGACATTGAACTCATTTATTTTGCTGAAACAAATTAAATCTTCTTTGCTTCGATAAGGAATTGTACATATGATAATGCTTTGGGGTATTAGGTACATTCATTGCTGTCTACCTAGGGGTTATCAATATTAAGAAGAATTGGTGGGATGTGTTTTAATTCTACAGTAATCTGCATGTCAAAATTCCTAATAGATCTACAATAGAGAAGATATTGCAGTATTCAATATTTTGACAGCATTCACATACTTGTATGACAAAGGCAACAAAGTTAAGAATGAGAAGAGAAACAAGCTTTCAGCACTGGGATATTTTTATTAATACTATACCAATTTTTCTGTACTGAAAGCCTCTTTGTCACTAAAACATGCCACAGATGAATTCTGCGTTTTTAAACATTTTCATTTTTAGCAACCGCTACAGCAAGTCAAACCTCCCTCCCTTTTATTGAAAAGACAGAAACTAGTTAATAAGTTTTAGCATTGCCAGAAGCTGTGGGACATTTTGGGCAAAATACAGAAAAATAGCAGGACTCAAATGAAATCCGTCTTTGTAAAACTAAACCAATTGAGAAAGTACTGGTCTGTGATGTAACAGGGTTCTGTGGTGTCTGCTCATTTTGTGAGGTATATTAGCTGTCATCAGGGAGGGTGCCTCTGCAACTAATATTATAGAGAGTGACAGGAGTGTAATTACAGTCAAGTGCCACCGTCTGTGTCAAAGTTACATCACAGCTCGAAGGTCTAACACAAGCCTTTCATGAGTGCCTGTAAAAATAATCAGATTTTTGACAATGGCTTTTTTGTACCACTTTTGGAGTTTTATGGTTACAAAGGCAATGTTTTAGACTGCTAAATAAAATCACAAGATTTCATAGCTGATGAGGCTTTTTTCGTGTGTCATGCTCAAATATGTGCTTTTTCCACCAAGCAGTTATCCCCTTTCTTGACTGATAAACAAAAGCGACACTTGTGTGTGTCCGGACTAGGTTTAATAGCAGCAATACGGATATTTTCCATACAATTTATATTTATACATAAAATGTTTATTTAGGACCTGGGTCACCGCAGACTCTTACAACAGCTGTTTTTGAAAGGGAACTGAAATCCTGTTTTTCTTTTGCTTTGCCTTGTTTTCACCTCTTGGCTCTGTAACTGTGTCACTATATTTGGCCTTTCTATGTAGCATGAGTGTGTAATTCTGGACACAGTAAAGCTATGCATCAGCAACAGCCCAAATAGTCCTGGCATGGAAAAAAAAGATTTAAAAATTGACCTCGTTTCAAGACACTGGAGTTCAATATTTGCTAATGTCTTCTTAAGAGTATAAATAATCGCATCAGCCCTGCCCTCAGTTTAGCCAATTGGATCTCAAATTGTTTTTGCTCTCTTACAGGTGCCTTCTTTAGATTAAATGCTGATGCATCAAACTAACAGCTCCTGCCTTGGATGGTAGGGATAATTCAGTTTGCATGGATCTCTGACCTATATATGCACTGTATCAGTGTCTTCTCCTGAAAACTGCCTGTGTGCAGCAGGAGATTAAGTGTGGTCATTTAATGTAAAAAAACAAAAAACAATCACAAGTTAAAAATATATAAAAGCTCCAAAGCTTTTAGGCATCTTCCTAAGACAGATTTAAAAAATCTTTGACTTTGTCAAAGGTAGGGTGTGATTGGGGAGGGTTACACAGCCATGCCAGACAGAATTAATTGATAAAGTCACACAGTACAAGAAACCTGAGCTTGAGAACTGATGTGATGAGAGAATGTAATGATTTATCAATAGAGAGTCAGATTCTGGCATCTCTTACAATATCTATGAACTGCAAGTCTACTATTGCACTTTTAGCTCCGGGTGGGACTCTCCTATTGGATCATCAATATTAATGGACTTACAAAGCATTTCCAAAGCCTAGAAGGCATACAGCTCCTTTTGGCATAATTTCAAAGCTGCACAAAGTTGCAAGAGTTAGATTCCGATCTTAGTATTTTATATATATGGGTATCCACCTAGACTTTAAAGGGAACTCTTTAAGGCACCTCAGTGGGCCACCGTGTTACTACAAACATATCCATATTCCTAGAGTGTTTTGGACTTCCCACTGAGTCTCATGGTATTTTTATTTAGTGTTCCAAAAACTACTGGACTGAAACTCCACACGGGCCGAAAAAACACATTTTTTGGGCAATGTTGATTAGTTTTAATATTCTAATTTGCCTAATGGATTCAGCTCAACTGAACACTTCGGAGCAGGACAGGTATTGGCGGTGCCTCTAAATTGAAACAAGTTAAGTAAACTGAGCAGAATTACATAATTTGTTGATTCTACTTTTCTTCGCGGCCCCCAGATCAGATGGTCAGAACGGCCGATCAGCATTACTGATGTCTGTGTTAATGGGAAAGTTGTGTAAATTCACACACAGAGGGCAAGAATTCACTCATAACCTGTGGAACTTCAACACAAGAGAAACAGTATACTGTAAATATCCAAGATGCTTATGTTTTAATATTCTAATACTTCAAACATATTCTAATGCTGCTTAGTGATAATAAAGCAACATTTTTCATTAAGCAAACAGTTAAAGGCCACGTTCTGCATAGATGTGTTTTAATTAAGAGACTAAGCGAAATACCCAGCCTGAAACTGCGGGTCTGGCTAGGCTAACCAACATCTACATAGTTTGAATCTGCAGTTCTAAAGAAAATGTTCTGTTCAGGCAGAAGGATCATAACCAGCTTCTCTGAATAAAACACTGGGGTGATTCTCCAGGTATCACAGGCCCGGTTGCTCGTCTCAGCAGCTCTGCCTTGTACAGGCTGAGGGCTGCTGTCTCACACCATGGTTTGCAGCTGGGGGCACGTTTTCAGCTTTCCAAAAAGCGCTTGGCACAACTCCGAAACAGGGCATAAAAAAAACAAATCACGGAATAATAAATAATACCTTTCAATTACGTTATGATGTGTGTAAAGAAAAAGTTTGATTTCTAAATTAAAGCTTTGTACTTAATTGCCAACTCCTGGGGAGGAAAACAAAGAGCTGAATGCGAGCTTTGTGGTCCAACGTACTATTAAATCTTAAAACACACAAGCAGCATTATGGAGTCGCAGTTGTGGAGAAGCATAAGCAAATAAATGATGTCAAGAACTGTAAAGGGCAGCTGTTTGACTCGGAAAACTGCTGACAATGATAAATCATAATTTTATTTTTACTGGGCTATTTCACTTATTAAAAATAACTATACGGTATATTTTACACACACCATCTTTAAAGAGGCATGCGTTAAGAGAGGTGCCCTTTCATACAATATGTCTATTCAGCTGATGAACTAGAGTGCCACTGAAGAAATTGATAAAAAAAAAATGAAATGATGTCCGTACAATTCAATAAGCATAAGCAGATCAGCTACAGCACCATGCTAAAACAAAACGAACTAAGTGATTTACTTTGGTTTAAGAGTGACGCAGTGAGGTGAAATGTGACTGTTGCCACCAAGGCAGGGAAGGTGATTCAGGTGGTGATCTTGTCAAGGAGTGTTGGGGTGGTTCAATGTAACATATTCAGAGAGGATTTAACCTTGAACCAAAGTACCTGCTGTTACTGAAGGAACACCGTGGCTACAAGCCTGACAACACACTTTGCAATCTAGCTACAGAAAAGCAGACAGGCCTGGCTGCCATTCCACAGATTCAGAATTCAGATCATATTATATTAACTGCACTCCAGTCAGATGTTGACAAGAACATACTTCTTGTGTTTGCTAATGGGACAATAAGACAGTAGATTTACATTTCTCTGCTCTGGGTGTCAGAAAAACCACATTAATCAGCTAACATTAGAAATGTGAGCCTGTTTATATGGGGGAAATTAGAGAAGCCTGGGACCCATGAATATTCAAAAGTTATGCAGTAACCTGTGTTTTTTTAACTTTCTAAAACTCACAACATAATTTAAGTCAGAGCCGATTATTCAATTAATAAAAACATGACAACACAGTCTCAGTTCCTCTGAAACATAGCCATTAGTAACAATGATTCTAGCTGAGAACATTCAGACACCGACATGATTCTTGCTCTGCATTACTGCTTACGCAAATTAATTTAAAGACAGATTACACATTTAGCCTGAAAATGCACCAAATCCACGTACGTCTGCAATCCATGTGCTTTCTGGAAAATGTATTATCTTGATATTCTTTAAAACAGCTTCTTAATATTGGATAGCTTTGTGAATTGGTTCAAATGCTCTCTATTTGAGTCAATGATACAAGAAATGAAAGGATATTTTATTGCAGTCTTAGAGGGATGGGTCCCCTGTTTGTATGGTATTTTTTGTATGGTATTTTTTCTGCAGGAGGGAAATCATGTAGTTTTTACATTACTTTGCATTTTGATTGCAACAGAGCAAATTGTATTGTCTTCAGAAATTGTCAGATCCTGTAGAAGGAACCAAATGATCTACAGTATATGGGTAGAATGACCTCTTATTTGTTCTTATGTTTTAATGTACAAACATTTTGATCATCTTCCCTCTCTGCTCTGAGAGATTTCAGATGCACTTTGTGGGAAGCAGAACTGACTTCTTGCAGGTGAACTCTGTTGTATTTGTCTTTGGGTGAATTTGATCTTATCCCTATGCCAGTAAGCCTGCAACAGCAGGAATGAGGGAGACATTAATGCCAAGGAATAGCTTCCCAGCCTCATCACAAACTCCAACCCATTAAGAGGGATTAAGACAAACATATTAACAGACTTTTCCTTGGTTTCTGGGGCTGAAGGATTTTTTTCAGGCTGCAGTTTGTTTGTTTTTTTCTTCCAGAAGCAGTTCAAACAAGTCAAACAAAACAAGAAGGACTAATGGCAGCAACCTGTAGTTCACAGTCTGTCATTTAGGCAAGGTAAGGTTACATGTTTATCTGCATGATGGAAGGAACTAGATTTTAGGAGTTAAGACAACTTTACACTCAAGAGACACTACATAACTCTTACGGACCCAGAAATGGCCTAGAACAACACTACATAGGGTGTATAATTCACCCTGCCTATCACCAGAGCCATAATTAAAATTATACATATAGTCTTAATGTAAATGATATTGATCACAATTATTTATCCTTTTACAAATTTATTAATAATATCAACAACGGAGCTGGTTGTAGTAGTAGTAATAATAATATCATAATCAATTATTTATCCTTTTACAAATTTATTAATAATATCAACAACGGAGCTGGTTGTAGTAGTAGTAATAATAATATCATAATCATAAAGTAATTGTAGATTAACATTATAATTAGTAGTAGGAGCTGTGGTAGTACTTACACTAGCGGTTAATGTTTATTACCTTTAATGGAACAATTTATGTATAATTTATGTATCAGACCAGTCACTGGTTTTATAAATAAAAACATTCAGCTGTGTAAATAAAATTAAGGTACTCTGTGTAATCTGTTAATGTGTAATCAGTAAGCAATGATAAAATGGATGCATCGAAAGTTATAGTAATTTGTTTACGATCCTGTAACAATAAAATGATGTCTTTGTTGTTTTTATATTTAAATGAAAGCAATTGAGTGAGTAGGACAGCTGAATCAGTACAAATGATATTTCCATTTCAGGTTGCAAAACGTCTGCTATCACCACTAATAATTACAGAACAAAAAATCGTATTGCATCCATCACTTCTGCCAAAAATACAAATCAAAATATTTCACCTGAAAAAAATCCCACCCGTTACAACAATTAAATAAAATCTAAAGGAATCTGTCAAATTTAAATTTCCCACTGTATTTACATTCGTGCTCTTTTTGCTTGGTTGTAAAGGCCAGAGAATGAGTGTGAACATTTTAACAAATATTTAGTTCTTGTAACTCAGAAACCCCCTTTTGAAGACACACAGGCCTCTACAGGCTATCCTTCAGTGTTGAGTTTGGAGCAGACTGTCACAAAAGCTGGGATTATCTCCCTTGTTCAAGCTTTCAAATTCAACAACCACACCATGCAAGTTACCAGTATAAGATTATGATAACAAGATCATGTTCAGTTATAAAAACAAGTGTCCTAACTTTTCTCATGTCACTTTCCATCTCAGCCCGATCGCAGGGAGGGAGAAAGGGCCCATATGAATTTATGTACGGCTCATTTAAAAGGCAGCCCTTTGAACTGGATTCATGGGGTATTTGCATAAGAAGATTTGGGAGAGGAGAATGGAGAGGCACTGCATCTGGTCATTAATATGCTAGCTAATTCAGCACATTGTAAGCCCATTGATGCTTCACTAAAGACTCAAATTCAAGGACAGTTATCCCATTGCTATTGTTTAGGCCTGAACCAGTCTGAACAGTTGTTACAAATTACATAGTTAATTGATTTCAAATCTGCTATAAACTGCACAAATGGAGGTTGCTGTTATAATTTGGAATAAACTTGGCAGCTAATAAATTTTGGATACATTCAAAAACAGACAGACACCAAAAATAAGCATCAAAAGTAACATGTCTACATGTTGAAGCCATCCGAAGTGAGCACTGTGCTCTACAGAATTATGCTTTCTAAATAGAGTGCCTCAGTAATTGTATAATTTAGTTTATGCCTGTCAGCTGGATATGCGAGATTCCTTGTAATTGAAACAACCTGTAGCACGTTGTAATAAAACTGGAAATTTAATACAACTTTGAGAGCAAACACACAGCTTTAAAGAAGCAGCAATTTCTAATTCAAACAAAACTTCTCGCACTCAGGTTTAAAAAAAACAGAATGAAAAAAATACTTACAAACTTTTAGTTGTTCCCAGGATATTACGAAGCCACATCAAAGAAGCAAAAATAAAGAAGTTGGGCAACAGTGAGTATTTCAGTAATGATAGTCCTTATTTTCTATCGAATAAAAATGTTCTCAATTCATTTACATGTATAAAAAAAAACAGTAAGAGTTTTTTAATTATCCTGTCGGGTTTTGAACATTGCTCTTAAGATGTATTCAGACTGAGCATGTACTTTCAACACTGCAGCACAGAAATTTTTTTAATCTTAAACATTTCAACACAAGAAAACTATAAATAAAGGGAAAAAAGTTAGTAGTAGCTGTTACTAGTAAACAGCGCTTTTTACATCACTGCCCGCAGCATTCGTAATAAATGACTTAACGTTTGGACTGCACTAACTGATGCGTTGTAGTTTTAAAACAATATAGGTGCACTGAATCCTAGTCACATTTACGGTTTGGTTCCACAAGTGCTTCAACATATGTCATAAGCAACAGCTGTTTGGAGGACTGCACAGTTTCGAGATCCCCACTCCAGAGGCACCATTGTCAGCCCGGCTTTCGAGCTGTTTGTGCAAGGGTAGAGTATTCTTTCCCTCTCAATCTACAACCCAGAGCGAAGACATCAAAGGAGGAAGAGTTTCGCTTTTTGTGAAGTCTGGTCCCTGACTCTCAACATGTGGTTTTGTGGGTCTGAACATCGGCACCTTTTAACCTATTCTGTTAAGATTAGGCATTGGCTTCAATTGAGCATTAGTGAAACTATAGTAACCAATAATCTGCTTGTCGCTGAATAGAAACTATGTATCTTGTCACACAAGAGCTGTCGGAACATCATGGTCCCAGACAAGTTCCTTTGCAAGCTCCTGGCTGCCGTAACAGGGCCCCAAGTCTTTTCACACCATCATGAGGTTCCAACCCTCAGCCCACTCCTCCCTGCTTTGCAAGCCCACTGCCCGTTAATGGTAAATTATATTTAACAAATAGAACATTGTTTTCCGCAGGACACAGGCATTTAATTATCCCGCACAAATGTTTTCCTCCGGCCTGCAACTGAGGGCGAGAAAAAGTGACAAGAGGAGGGGGAAGAAAAAAAAAAGGGAATAAAAAAAAAAACCCCAACAAAAAAAAAATCCAAATTAATTTTTTTTCTTCCTTTCGACATGTGCTCATCTCGACTGACCACGGAGAAGGAAACAACGGGAAGCCGCCGAGTGGCTTAACAACTCTGGTTTCATTAAGAGGTGCAAGCAGAGCGCCATGAGTCCTGATGGCAGAGCACAGTCAGTCAGATGCTGGCTTCTTCCTAAGCCTAGCAGGAACTAAGGGCTCCAGACACCACGCTCTTATTAAAGCCCAGCTCCTCTAACAACTGTCATTGGGAACTGCTTCCATAAATCCCCATCGAGGCAAATCTGCGTGTTTTCTTGTCATTGATATCTGGGGTGTCACTTTTGAACTAATAAAGTCCAGGATTAGAGTTTCATCTATATAACAGTTGTTAACTGTGTCTAACCAAAACAAGAAAAAGGCATTATCCTTGAGTACCATTACTTACTGGTACATCGGGCATTTGTAAATGGAGCAAAGATACTGATCATGAACAACAATATATATATATATTGGGATATATACATTTTTAGCGATTTGCTGTGTAGGTAGTCATCTGATGACCACATCAACCCGTTATTTCATTTTTATCTGGGTTATTTGTAATATACACGTAACTACATTGTTTAAAGTGGTTTGCAAAGAGCAAAGAGCTGTGCAATTTAAGAGGGAGTGTCTGTCCGGTTATAGCAGAACGACTATTGATTTGAAAAAAAGAAAAAAAGGGTATGTTACTATATGTGCATTCCTACAATTGCCATCTTAGTGTCATTTTATCAGGCAAATCTTATACTGCTGCATAAGATAACACACTTCAGTACTGTCTAATTTATTTACCAATAGGTAAATCTTCTGTAATACTGGAGATGTAAAAAAAGCTACAGAAATCCTCTGTTTTAATATTTTAAGTAATGCAGTATACAAAACAGGTGGATTATCAGGTCTCACACAGCACCTTTTCGGTCAAAACCACTTCCCTCTCTGGATATATGAAAGCATTCTACAGGTCAGCTCACCACCCAATATGCATTAAGTGCTTTAAAAGTGACCCTGCACAAACTGGCAACTGCCAGCCTTCTGCTTATGTCAGCCTGGCATATTTGGCCGTTTAGTGGGTACTTGTGAAGATCAAATGGGCTAAGATTGCCCTTCTTAAACAGCAGGGAAAAGGACATCAAAAAGGTGTAAATTTCATTTCCCCAGTTTTGATTAAGTCAAGCATGAAAAGAAATGTAATACTCTCATGTGGCAAGGGTTTAAACTATTGATGTTGTTACTTCTGCTTCAGGAAGCCCAATCAGCCGACAGGGAGCTGAACAAACTAGCTGAGAGTTTTAGGGGAGGCCAGATGGAGGGCTTTGCTGTGTATGAAAAGACAGCTTAGCGCTCGCCTCTTCAATCCCACTCAATACTGACTGTGTGAAATCCTGGCCCTGACTACACCCTCGTTTTCAAAGCTGGTGGCTGCAACCATATGGGCTTGTTTAAAAACTCCCATAGGCCGATACAAAGACCTGAATAACACAGTTTTCATTTCAAGTATTATTTAAATGAGCTCCCCCTCACCACCCACCCCCATACCACCAGAGCCTTTGGTCTTTATAATGGTTCACATTGTTTCGAACTAGTAGGCTGTCTTCTACCAGTTGACCTTAATATAGGATTATGGAATTATTACATTTTACAGGAAAACACACAGGAAATTCGCTTGTCTAAACAATGTCAAGAATACAGGGTAGTTTCTTTGAATCAGTTTCTTTGTGAGTTGGTTTTCTTGTAAAATAATGAGGCCTGTCTTTCACGAGGAAACACGGGAGTGTTCCAGGATAAATAATCACAGGAACATGGGTGAGTATGTCTGATTTTCTGGGAAGTAGATTTTCTTTTTGTATTGTGTTGTTAGCATAACAGATTATGATTTTTCTTAGGAGGGAGGCTAAAATGTTAAATTCAATTCACTCCCTTTGAACAGAAAAAAATAACTTTACACATTCTTGCCATTTTTGTACAGATGCTCTTTCATGAAATCCAATCCGACTTCTTAAATTTATGCCCCTGCAACTATACAGTGGAGAGCAGAATAGACTGGCTTTTGTAAAGACTTAATAGAATCTTTAACAGTTCCAACAATCCACTCCCATTGAGTTGCATTAAGTAGATATTATAGTGGGACAATAACCTAAATAGCTCAACATCAACCTCATTAGGCATGCAGGCAGGCCCTGAACCATTTTACGGCGGAGCCTATTGTCAGAGCTCACCCCAGGTGAGCATTAAATTGCAAATGATACTCTGAGAGGCAGAGAAGAGAGGGAGAGAATAGGCCGTGCAGAAAGAAAATTGTCTCAGGACACAAGAAAATGAAAGGCAGTAAAGGAACTGCTCTGACCGTAAAAAATTCAATACATCACGGCTTTAAGAGGCTGAATTCCACACTCTTCTCGTGTTTTATCCCTGAGCAGTGCTGAGGTTGGCTGTGAGGAGAGCACTCCGATAGACTGAAGCAATTACTTCTGACTTTTAATGCTGACATGGAAACAATGCTATCCTTTTTCACAGGATGCTGGTAGTGTGTGTGTGTTTGTGTGTGTGTGTGTGTGTGGTGGGGTATTATAATACAATAGAACAAGAAAGAAAGAAAGAAAATAAATAAATAAAGTGATGATGTTCCAGAAACTCTGTCTCCACAATTTGAAACTTTCCAGTAGGTCTATTTCGCACCGAATCAATACACACATCCTCATATAACAATTTCAGCCTAATCGCTTCTCGGATCAACATGTTAATAAAATGGTCTCTAAAGAATTGTTTGTAACTGCAAAGTGTTTTAGCGACTGACATTAAGATGCTGAGAGGCTGAAAATGTATTCCCAGCCAGAACCCCTCTCTGTCACCTTAGCGGATGAGTAATTGTGCCTTTGCATATTCCTTGTCATAGACGGCAGAAATGAAAGGGCCCTGAGGAATGTACTGGCAAGACTCTTGCCTTGAGAGTGGAGTAAATTAAAACACGGATTAGACCAAGCATGATTGGGGATGACAAGCAGGGCAGTTGTAGCCACATCATATTTTGCCCATATGGTCTTCACAAAGGCAACGCAGTGGAGACCACCTAATAAGATTGACAAACTAGCTACAGTAGGGCATTTTTATTTTTCAAAAGCTCCGAAAAATAAATTCTGGCTTTGCTTCGGTGACATCCCCATGAAACAACCGCGTGTCGTGCCTTAATTGCTGTCTTTAAGCAGATTACAATATCTCTCCTGTTACAAAGACAATTCTCTTATACACTAATATGAAAATGTGCTTTTTGAGAAAATGCTTTCAAATTGTACTACAAGCTATATGCAAAACAAATATCTGAAAAAGAGCATTTTTTCTGGCATTGAATTGGCTTAGCTCTGTTTCATTCACTGTGATTTGCCCATCATTCTCTGTATTTTTCTGTTTGTTGATGTGGATTATATTGATATATAAACTACTTGATTCTCTGAAATTCTTCTGTTAATAAACAAAAACTATAGCACTGCAGGCAAGGGACACAGACATAAACTTTGCGAAGCACAATATGTATTGTTCTTTGAAGAGAAGAGGTATTTTTAAAAGTAGGTACCAGGAAATTACAATATATAATTACAAACAATCATCATTTAAATCCATCTCTCATGGAGATGAGAACGTTGCACAGCCCGCATGAATCGCCTCTATTCTGCTTTTTAACTCCAACTGATATGTTTGAAAAAACTCTTCAAATGCTACCCTCTCCTGGAAAAATGACCACAGGAGTGCGGATGAAAATATGAAAACTGTGACTGAGCTTTTAATGAAATCTCCAACAATACTAAAAATAGAGGAACACTGAAAATAATTAATATAGTACAAATATAATTTTATGTAGTGCCTTTCAAGATATAATCTCACATTTTTATACAAGTAAACAAAGCAATGGCATAAACTGAAGAAGTACTCTATAATAAACAATATAAACTCAACAAAATTTAAAAGCTAGAGTATTCATGTACAGTTTAATACTGATAAATGTAATGACTGACTCAAACAAACAATAGTTTGGAGATTATCCCATGATTTTGAAGCAACAGAACAAAAAGCTTAGTCCCCCAAGCCTAGTTTTAAGGAAATAGCCATTCAGGGCAATTGGGCATAATTAACACACTGCTTTTAAATGCTTCCCTTTTTGTTGCAGATCTTCACATAGTGAATAGTGAAGGCCAGCCGCACTAAAATAAACGGTGGTTAGGGACTCTGTATTAAAATATGTTCGTATTGTAAGTTGCTACTGTCCATACACATTAGTGTCTTAGTGAGGAATTTCCCCCCAAAAAAGGCTGACACACACCTATATATATATTGCTTTGCTTAAAGCACAATTTATATCTGTAGCTCCCCTTAGTTTATATAGTAAGAATTGTGATCATATGAAAAAACAAGCATTTTTGTGAAATTCAGGCCATGTAGAATTTTGTTAATTGACCAGATTAGAGGATGAACAAAGATGACCAAGATGGTGATGACAAATGAGGGAATCTCATTTGCAAATTATTTGGGAGGAGTGGAAACAAACACTCAATGTATGTCACCTACATGAAAGACATCTGCAAAAGGGTCTCCTGAAGCAGACTTATTGTGTGTTATCAGGAGCACGCCAATTAAATCCACATTCATTTCACCTAAAACACTGATCTTTCATCAACTCTGCTAGTCCATGTTAAGGTCCCTAGGATGTGGGGAGATGTTCAGGGCATTGACAGAGCTCTGCACTTAAGTTAAAGGCAGCACTGTGCACAGTGGTTCTGGACCCAGAACTAGAAGGAAGTGGGTTCCAATCCAGACACTGCTGCTGTAACCGTGAGTGAGATACCTCACCCCAATTACTCCAGTAACATACGCAGCTATAGAAGTCACCTGTCAACCAAACATCTATATGTATATAAAGAGATGGAAGACTTACCCCCTTTTGTTAGCACAATGTGGAAAGAGTTGTCAGCCAGGGGTAGGGATTGCAAAATTGAAGCATTAGAAGAAGAAGACGAAAATTTAGGAGGTGGGGTGGATTTGGGATTTAGGGAGGGAAAGCACCACTTGTCAGAAACTGATAATAGACAGCAATGTCTCAACTATACAGAGTTGCCTTCCACTATGATACAGCAAAGCAGGACAAAACAAAAATGGTTTTCAGTAGGATGGTAACTTTCCAATTGCATTTAATGAAATAATTTTGCTGGTGTTGGACCACACTGTCACCAACTGTCCTTCTGAAGCAGCTTAACTGATGATATGCTTTTCTTAAGGGGTGGTGACATGGAAGCAACCATTAGGTATTAGATTATTTTAAAAGCCTATTTTATTTCTGCAATCCCTGAGCCTATTTGAAAACCATCTTTGATTTAAATTTTATTTGACCACTTTTTAAAAAAATAAATGGGCTAAGAAAAAATGAGAGTTTGAAATAAATCTCATTTTAAAAAAAATTAGAAGTTTATTTTTTTTCCTTTGATAACGTGAAGGTATCTTGATACTTGTGTAGCTGACATATGACAGTATTGACACAAAATACTGGGTTGCTAAATTGAAAACCAAAAAATAGCCCTTCATATTTTAGCCAATTTAATTTGGTTGCCAAGGAGTGCAAGGTATTATTTATGCAAAACTACAACTAAAGCCACACACAGGGAGTCTCCATTGTGTTTCTCTGAGTGCCAAAGGGCCATAATTTCAAGACGTTTTAGTCTTTAGCCCAAGAAATGTGATGACAACCAAATGTAGATTACCTGGGTCTAAATAAACACAGTTCAACAGTAAAGTGCTTTCAGAAATTTAAAACTATTCCTTGAATGTTTGCTGCATATCCATTTTTACAAATGAAGGCACAGCCTCTCTAATGATAACCTTTTGCATTAGAGTTGCTTTAATCCATAAATTAAATAAATAAGAGGTTTTTTTTAAAATCTGCAAAGTGCAAAAGGTTAGATTCCAGAGATGTAAAGAAAGTGTTTGCTTTAACTGTGCTGAGATAAAAGGGAGGCTTAAACTCCGAGTACATTGCGCATAGATTTACATACACTGTGGGATTAGAACCACCTACTTCCATCCTAGGAAGGACTTTTTGAAGTTGAGGACGGGAGAGTGGAGATCTTTTGGCAGAGTCCTGTTTGATTCTGGTGGGAGATTGAACCTTAATCCCCCTTCCCGTTCTCACCTTCTGCCTGATCCACTGGAGCTGCTTATCCGATCATGCAGGATCATTATCCAATGAATTCCCTTCATTAATTTCTCTAAGAAGATTACAGAGTGCTTGTTTGTTGTTGTTCAAGCATCTGATTTCCCTAAGCTCTTTGTTTTTTCAACTGGTTTACACTTTAATGCCCTCGATTGAATTTCAGTGACAAGGGATCTACTTGACCCAACAGCAGGGCCATAAGATGGGTGTAGCTACAGCGACCAAATGGCTTCCTCTCCTTTGGAACCTTTCTTAGGGAGGTATGAATGACAGCCGCTAAAATAAAGAAGAGAAATGCAAGAAAACTGCATGGTTTTGGGGATGGGAGCATTGTTTTTGGCTCCTAATAAAAACTCTGTCACGTGCAGTGCCGATAGGACACCAAGAGTCTAACCCGAAATCTATTCTGACCAGTGGGTTTGTGAAATTTCAATTCAATTTAATCTTAATCATGCACAGATACCTTTGACTTCTGCTTTTTCACGCACCCATATGTAATTATGTAAGATACTTCTACTTCATATCGGATTTAGGAATTGAATACAAACAGTAGGATGACATTTAGGGTTTTCTGTATTACACTGAAGTGATACAGCATTTTACATTTGCTACAGCACTACAGGAAAAGGGGGAACTAAGGCATCACATTCACTCATGCAGATGAGCTAAAACGCTACTACCCACAAGCTTCCTTATACAAGGCTTACCAATAAAGTGCTGTAAAGAGACAGTAGTGTTTCACAGAGAATGCTGTTTTAGGCTGCAGGACCACCAGAGTGAGTCTTTTGGCATTGCTTTATATTCAAGGCGAGTTATTAGTGCAGCCTAGAAACTGTGCTGCATTCTGGTCACAAGGGTGAGCAATTCTGGCTGATCAGTCACAGACCCCCTGAGGATGCCTGGGGACCTGTCAGCTCTGTGTTGGGCCAGCTGGGAAGGGAGGAAGGAAACTACCTCTATCAGCCCACAACTGCAGTACTTACAGAGATAAAGTCCTGAGAGCACAGAGTGGGGAGCGACAGTGCCACCAGACATAAAAAAGAGAACAAAAAAAGACAGGTTGAAAGAACAACAGACTGACAAAAATGGCTCTGATGTTTTCCTAGTGCAGCTACAGGCCACTCACTGCTCAGTTAGGGTAGAGGCCCGGAGCTCTGGTGTCTTTTAGAGTAGTTCAGAGCTAGCTCCACACAACCATAGCCCAGCACTGCACAGAGCTGGAAAACCACAAGATACCACACCAGCTCTTTCGACCTCCATATAATCAGAATTTGTGAAAACCGCTAAAGGTATAACAGAATGAATACATAATTGGAGAGAGGCAAACAATCATATGTCAAAGCTATTATCAAGCATTGAAAAGCTGTTTCCCTTTGCCAAAATGAAAAAGAATGCTGTCACACTGAAAAACATGTGATGCGTGACAAGCTGCGTGTCTTTATTTATTAACCTGAAGCAGTGGTGAGGGGTCTGGACTCATAACTGAGCTTGTGGTTTCAAATCCCACTGCTGCTGTACCCTTGAGCTACGTGATTCAGGTATTCAGCTGTACCAATAGATGCAAATGTTAGAGTTCTAGATAAAAGCATCACCCAAATAAATTAGTATGAATTCTAAACAATGCGGTAGTTTAGTCAAATTCTGGTAGCAATGAAATAAGCTAGTGAACATAAACGGGTTTTTAATTTGATACTTTGGTATTAAATGACACAGTAGATGGCATTAATCCCGTCAGCACCTTGCCTGGCTGAAGAAATGACAGCCCTGGCCTAAAAGTCAGAGCTATCGCAAACCCTCTCACGAGGAATGAGCCAGGGAGCTGTTCCTGGGGTGCGGTTGGATTCAAGGGAGGGGAGCTAGAAAAGATGTACGCAGCCAGCAAGTATTTATT